ATATACACGTTAAAGAAAATGGGTCGCTCTATTAGCACTGGTATTATTATTTATCTATTTGTGTGTATATATAATAACAGTGCTCCAATATATAGGGAGATGATGTTAAAAATCGTATTAAACATAAGTTCATCAACGAAAGTTCCTTATTAGTTGTATGAAAAACAGAAGTCTCTGGTGGAAATCGAACCGCAATCTCTCGTTATCTATTAAAAAGCAGCAGTTGTAATTTTTATTAAATGTACTTGATAGATAAATCATTTGACACGTCGTCATTAATACACTGCACAGGTTACAAGAGCTGATAATTATATCCAGTGATACATTTCTAAGTTACTATGTAGTTGACTAGGTAAATATCGATGGTACACCTAATTTTAAACCAAAATATTGTTATAGGATTTAACATGCCGCCCACTCATTAAAACCAACATATTGACAAAATATTAATTTTCAGACTATAAGTCATTGGTTTATGTGACAACATTTTGTGAGGCTATCAAAACGTTATAGGCTAAAATTTGTTTATCAGTAATACACCAGGTATCAAATATACGAAATCAATTTTTTTAGATTAAAGCATGATGAATAATACTTAATCGTGAAGAATCAACTTATGTAAACTTTGTAAGATTATACTTATGCCTATTTGTAATTACACTATTTAAGCCTTTTTGTTTATTGTTATAACTTTACAACGCTGTGATAAAATTATAATTAGCTTTTAGCTTTTGATTTTCGTTTAAAAATGGTGTAATCAACGCTAAATAAATTAATTGTTTTGTTTAACATTTGTGATTACTTTATTTGTAATCCATAAAATATATGTTTGCTTAGTAGATTTCGATGTATTTGTTAAAAGTTTAAGGTTAGGAATTAATAATTTATTAACGACTACTAAAATATAGACCTAACTTAAAGTTTGAAAAATGCCGCATAGTGACGATGATAATGATGAGGACAATGATAATGATAGTGATGAGGGTGATTAAGATGATCATTGTGATGATTGCGATAATGACGATGATAACCATGGAGAGATGATGATAATGAAAATGAAGATTATTATGATCAGTTTAGCGTGTGTTCACAGTTGATAACTTTATCCCTATTTAAGATAGTATAATACATACTCCAAATATCGAAATGCACGCCATCGTGTCGGGATTCAATATTTCGACATTAATTATGTCATCATCATTATTGACATAATAAATGTCGAAATCAGGAATTATCTCTATTTGTTTGGATAAACGCAGAAAAGTAAATTTACATAAAACTTTAGGATGGATTGTTTGTGATGAGTGAAAACGAAAAATGAAGAATCTCACCAGGACTGTCAAGTTGCTGATATGGATCACTTCTCTTATGTGTTTGTACTGCAACTCCATTCATCGCATAAATTGCCCCATCGGTTGTTTCGTAATATAGGCCCAACTCTTTGGCTTCGTTCTCTTCTTGGGCCTGTTGCCTGCGAAGGGCTACTTGTGCAGCCATAACTCTCTGTCGTTCTGCGATCAGAGTACATTTAGCACATACACAGTCCCTCCATCTACAGTAACGTTTATGTCCTTTTAGTGCCGAGACAACTCCATGATTTCGACATCTGGCACATTTTGGTGTCCTAGGGTATGGTTTATCGGATCGGATAAGTAAAGTCGGTGGGCCTCCAGAATTTCCCGAATGGGATATAGAAACTTTTGAAGATTGGTTAGCTTCGATTTGCCCGCCTACACTCATTCTTCCTGACGATCTCACTTCAACACAACAACTAAATACCGATTATTAATGAAATTCAATTTATTCTCCCGTTAAACCGCTTAGAAATATTTGACCCGAAGGTGGCAAGCTCTCACCAAAGTCACAACTTCTTGCACGAGTGTCTTGTATCCGTCAGGCTCGTGGCTCTCTTATTGCTACATCCAACAAAGTGTGGCCCGCCCTCTTGGCTTTTATCGCTCGTTACAATATTTCGTTGTGTGTGTCAATGTGACAGTCACCTCTACGGGTTGTCCATTACATGACGAGTTTCTGATTGGTTCTTGTCAGCCTCAAATATCAAAGTAAACCATGACGTCATCAATACGGTAAATGCTGACTGACTTTCAGTAAAGTCATCGGAGACCCCAAGTTCTGTTTAGTTAAAATAGATATCGCGTTTTGTCGGGAATGAAAACTGAACAAATAATTGATTCACCAACCAAATTTACCTGCTTTAATGTTGACTCAATATATAATAAAGGCGATCTTTAAACACATTGTGCAAATTAAACTGTCTTTATATTGAAGGTACTACAGGGATTAAAAGAGTACATTACAAAAACAAAATTGATGCAAGCTATTTCGATTCAGTATTTCCGAACTGTATTAGTTGTCTTCAGCAATAGGCTATGCTTCGATTCGTCAACAATAAATAAGCCCAATGAAATGTTAACAAAATAATAATTGTAAATTTAATATACAATAGTATAGGCCTACAGTACATCATCACAAACACACACACACACACACACACACGCATACACACCCACACACACATACACACCCTCACACCCCCCACACACGTATATATATATATATATATTATTTTATTTTAATTTTATTTCAATTACATCCAACCGCGGAATCGCCCATTACAGGATGTCTTAAACATACAAGTCAGTGTTACGTGAATTTGGTCTATGTATTTTTAACATAAAGATAAAAGAGGGCAAATAAAAAGTGAGTTAAAACATTTATAAAGGAAGACCATATCAAACCTGCCCCTTCTAGTGTGAAGTGGTGAGAGATGAATAGGGGCATTAACGTTGTTATAATGAATAAAATACACGAATTTGTATTGAAATCGTTCAATGCGATTTGATTGAGAAATACATATAGAATTATAAATTTATAAATAAAAATAAAAAGTGGGTCTAACAATATATATATATATGTAATAGCTACGTGTTTAAGCCTAACTTAATACGGAATGCACAAACCTGAATAGAAGAGTAACTTGATTATTTTCCTCTAGGTAGGCCTATGGGATGCAATTTGTTGTTTATATTGTCTTTTTGTTTATTTGATATGGATACTAATGAAGACCAATTGCGAAGTAATAAATGATTGATTAATTTATTAAGTGAATGTGTGTTTACGATAAGATTGTAAAAATATATTTGTGCAAGTGATTTGACACAGCATCAACATTTAAAAGCCATGATGAAAATGAAAATAAATGAATAAGTATATAATTCTGTTTGCATGCAGAACAAACAATACAACACGGTTTAACACGATAAGACACGATTTAAGTGCGTCAACGCTTAACCGGAGTCGCAGCAACATGCGCATGCGAAGGCTGATCGTGTTGTACAATGATTTGATCTTCGCAGCTGAATAGCTCTTAATTGACCGGTGTCTAAGGACTTACGTCCTTCCATGGTCCTTCTAACCTGCTTGGGAGTTGTTGCCTTGTGTGTGAACAATTATCGCACAAGCAGTCCGAGTTTGTCTCCCTGTTTGGACTGTCCTCGGGCGGGTAAAATCATCACAGGGGATAATTTATCTATTTTTCTTAAATTCCTAATTATCAAGACGATTTGAAATGTTAACAGCAGACAAAGCTAGGCCTACTTTTGTTGATAAATATAGGTTATATAATATGGCGACATGTACCAGTCCATTGTGACAATAGAAAAAAAGAAATACAAACATTAGTATTACCGTTACCGATCATGAATAATATTTATTTTCAAACACAAGCTTTTGTGAACACAGTAAAATTTCAAGTGAATAATTAGTGCAGGAGGCATGTATTCTATGCCTATAATAGTCTGAAACAAAATTCATAGGTCTCCATAGGCAATCTTTGTGAAAGCCCACACGAATAAATCAGTCAATTAACTAATTAATTACCGTAACCAATGTATTCACATTATTATATGACTATTTTTGTAAATTAAGAACCACAAATAAAATTTGTTATCTTGCTTTTATATTATTTGTTATTATATTGTTATTCAATCTCGGCTTCTTCAAATTTATTTTTCCCCAATAGGCTAATCAGTATTTTGTTTCAGTCTAAAATTATGTTTTATTAATTGTTTTTACTGAATACATTTTCCCGACAAAAATTTCATGTTAAAGAAATGAAAATAATATGAATCTTGAATTTTCTTTATACTTAACCATGTGTATATTGAAAGCAAGATTTAATTTCAAATTTAATCGAATGGAACTCTTTCGGTTGTTCTTCATTATCAACAACTTATTTATTCAAAATGTTCAGCAACTAAAGTTGCCAATAAGAAAATCGAAACAATAGCTTGCTTAGAATACTATAAAAATATTGATCTATAATAAATTTAAAAAAATATACTAAAAGCTACCTCGTTTCCAACATTAATATCGTTTGATTATTACAATAAATATATTATTGAAGATTATCTCCATATTTTCAGTAAACCAACATATTTATGATGGCGTATTTAGCTTGTTTCTCCTTTTAGCGTTTTTGAGTTTCTTATTAAGTCAGGTGGTCCTAAAAAACTCAGATTTTTACAATTAATGTATTTTTATAGAAATGTTTTATATCTTTGTTTAGGAAAACCTAATACTTCACCTCCGGCGGCTCTACCAGAAGAACCAGTAAATCCTAACACCAATCCAAGGATAGCCAGTAACAATTAGTAGAAGATTAAACAGTGTCTTGTGGACTTGATGGCTTTGTGAATTTTGTCCGGCTAATACATCAATCAACAGTATTGTGAATAAACAAAAATCATTGGTATATTTGGACACCAACGAAATTATCCTAATTATAAATATAAAATGCGTGTCACACTTTTATTTCAAAAGCAACATTATGTTGTTCACGACAATAAGATAAGTCTACAGTTGCGATGGCTCATTCACTTTGATTAAATTGATTGCTGTTCTTGTTGGTTAATAGAACCGTTTATTCGT